CGTACCTGCCGTGTTCCCAGATTGGCAACGGCAGCAGGAGCTGTTAGTTGAACAGAAGAATCCTTGCCCTCGCTTCCGTTCTGAAAGAAAAATCTCTGGGAGTTATTAACAATCATTCACAGGAACCCGATCGCATATCCAAAGTGTAGCAAGTGCTTTCATCAAAAGCTACTTCCTCATTCCCTGAAGCGACTGAAACAAGACCGTCTTCGAAGCGAGCACTTGCGAGCGACCGTGAACGAGCAGCTCCGGTGGAATATGCGTTTTTCAATCTTCCTTCCAGATTGAGTGGATCAAAAACTAATGTCAGGTTTCAAAGAGATATCGTAAGTTGTAGGTTGGAATAAACAAAAACTAGGCAGTTAGTATTTCTAGCAGTTTTCTTGAAAATAGGAATTTATGAATCGATTGGCTTCCTGTAAGCTGGATCCCAATTTCGAAGGACCGATCCGGCAGACGTGGAGCAACGCTGTCAAGTCTTCCTGCGATGTGCAAAGGAAACGCTGGAGGAAACTCGAGGTGGTTTCTGAGGGAACAAGGAAGCATTATTCTAGAGCGATGAAGTCCAACGAGTTGTGAGGCAGAAGAAATTGGGCAACGAACGCTGGCAAAGGACACGAGCCCCAGATGACATAGCTGCCCAGAGCTTCCAAGAGGTTCGCCAAGGCTGCTGTAGCGAAGCGAAAAACACGGAACTGAATGCCTTGTATGAGGAACTCAACAGTCGAGAAGACGAGAAGTTCGTCTTCCGTCTGGCGAAAGCGCGTCACCGCGCCACTCAGGACATCGCGATAGTGAAGCCCGTCAGGAACAACGAAGGTGCAATACTGAGGAAGCCTAGCGAGGTCGGGCATAGGTGAAAGGAATACTTCTACAGGCTGCAACGAAGAATTCGTCCGTAAGAACAGCTTCCAGTTAGAGGCAACGGCCGGTCCCATCATTCTCTGGACAGAGAATGAGGTGTGTAATGGAAAAGATGAAGGTTTTAAAGGCAATTGGTCCGGATGGAGTACCGATCGAGACATGGAAGGCGTTCGGAGAGCATGGGATCAAGTGGCTCACCCGATTCTTTAACACTGTGAAGGCTGAATGAAAAATCCCAAATGCCAGGAGGAGGAGTTCTATCGTTCCCATGTTCAAACAGAAGTAGGACGCTATGGAGTGTTCCAACTAACGGGTTGACTGCTCGCACGATGAAACTGCACGACCGGTTAGTCGACTCAAGTTTGAGACAATTACACACAATCTCGCAGGAGCAGTTCGGCTTCATGCCTGAAAGGTCTGCATCAACGACATCTTCATAGCTAGGCAAGTTATTGAGAACTATCGAGAAAGGCGTAGATCCTGCTACCTAGCCTTCCTTGATCTAGAGAAGGCATTCGACCGTCTCCGCGACAAGTCCTCTGGAGTGCGCTCCGAAAACGAAACGTGCCGGAACACCTCATCTCCATGGTCAAGGATATGTACGATGGCTCCACTACAACAATACGCACTGCGCACGGCCAAACGGGAGCAATAGATGTCACTGTTGGGGTACAACAGGGATCAGCTCTGAGCCCATCCCTCTTCCTGCTCACGATGGACGTCATCACAAAAGAACTCGTGTGTGGACCACTGAAGACCATCCCCTACGCTGATGACATCGCTCTGATAGCGGAGAGCAAGGAAGAACTCCAGGACAATCTCCAGAAATGGCAGAAAGTGCTGGCGGAAAATGGACTCCGGCTGAACGTGAAGAAGACCAAGTTTCTCAGCTCCGAGGAGGGCATGGAGTCAATCACCGACGGTTACGGGGAAGCCATCGAAAAGGTCCAAGACTTCCGATACCTGAGGAGTGATCTAGCCGCTAATGGTGGCGTGGACCAGGCCGTGAAATCCCGAATGAACGCTGCATGGATGAAGTGGAGATAGTCCACCGGTATTCTCGCAACCGTTGGTGCTCCAAGACCCTCAAATGAAAGGTATATCGGACAGTGGTAAGGCCTACGGTGTTCTACGGTACTGAGTGTTGGCCTGTAAGTACATCTCATAAAGGACAGCTCCTCCCCGCTGTAATGAGAATGCTCAGATGGGCCTGCGGCTGGATCGGGTCAGAAATGAAGACGTCAGGACGGCTATGCAAACAATCCCAGTTCAACCGAAGATGAGAGAGCAGCGCCTGCGATGTTTAGGGCACGTGCTAGGAGAATCACAGAGCCTTCCCACAACGGAGGCAATGGAGATCGAGGCTTGGGGTAAGCGACCACGAGGAGCTCTAAAGAAGAGATGGCTGGACGTGATCAAGAAGGACCTCGCCAAAAACGGGGTGACGGCAAAAAATGCCGTAGATAGAATGAAATTAGACGGCTGACAAGAACAGCGGACCCATTCGACGGCGCGCGAGATTAACGCTAGGAAGGAGAAGAAGAAGAAGAAGACGGTTGGCTTCCAGCACTTTCGGCTCTTACAGTTGTTTAGTAGCCTCTTGTTGCTCGACTTTGCTTCTACGCTTCTAATTTGGAGGTTAGGACATCCTCATGATGAGATCATGCTGGAAATAAGTCCCAAACAATCCCAGTTCAACCGAAGATGAGAGAGCAGGGCCTGCGATGTTTAGGGCATGTGCTAGGAGAAACACAGAGCCATCAATTAACTTGTCCGCGACGCTTTTAGTTGTCGATTTGTGGAGAATATTCGATGCGTATGAAATTTGAGTGTCGCGGGTGCTTGAGCTTTATTGGTTAGGGTTGTGGTGGAATTTTTCACAATCACCTCGCGGTTCTTCAGTAGATTACTAATCACGAGGGAACAAGACAGTGTTCAAGCAGTGTATCTAGCAGCGTGCGGACAAAAAACGGGTGTGAATGTCTCGAAGAGGTGAGCGCCCTCCACTTGTGATCATCCACCGATAGTTCTGGCTGGCTGCCCTGTGTTCTGGCTAAGCTCATCACATCTTAACTTCCTTCCATCCCTCATTCCTATAATCTGGAACTTCAAGACTCGTAAATGCATTACTCGCCTTATCTCATAAGTGGACTTCTCGTTTAGCGCAGCTCGTTCCAAAAAGTTTTTTCCTTATTCGCAGTGTGCAGGTAGTGAGAGTAACCACTCTTGTAGTGGTTTATTACATCTGTCCATGAATTGCTCGCCTTTTGTTCCAACAGTGCTATCTTAAGGTCGCCAGTTCAAGTGAACAGTGTTTCATCACAAGAGTGAGGATTGTGCCTCTTCCATAAAACCTGTGTTCTCCGCTTTCTACGCTTTCTTCTACTCGAAGCTTCGAAAAAGAAAGGCTTATTTTCAGCATTTGGGGTGGGAGGCATTCCTATTTCATCGATGGACGCCTAGAAATATCCTACTTCATCCGTGAAAACCGTGAAACTCTTCTTTGGGATACCGCTTCCATTGGTCCTAAATGTGTGAGAGAGTCCTAGGCCTATTTATATGAACCGTGAAATCCTTCTGCAATAATAAGAAGTTTTTTATAAGAGTAGCGCTGAGACGAAGACCGTTTCATCATGCATTTGAGATCGTCATCGAGAATTACACACTGTAGTACTCGGCTCCTTAATTCGCTCGCCAGAATTGAATACAACAGAAGGAGCATAGTTTTCCTGGTAACTTTCCGCAAATTTGAAATGCAGATTGAGATCTCACTGTTCAAAAACACACAAGGCGATGTATTACGCATCTCATCTAAATCATTGAGAGATCCTACTTTATTGAAGCTCTAGTATGACGGCCATTAGGAGATAGTTTGAAAAATTTTCGTTACAGGAAGAGTGGAAGTATACTGCTTTGGTTCTAGACCGCCTCGGCTTGATTTTGTTCACTTTACTGATGTCATCATTTGGAATTTCTATGATTATACACCCCATTTCGACGCTTGAGTGCCATAACGGTTCAACAAACTGTTGATTCTGCTTTTCGCCGACCAATTTCCCAAAGAATCTGTACTAATAATTCTTCAGGTATGATTTACAGAGAATGAAATCCTACAACTTCCTTCAACTGTAGACCGGGCCTCCAAGGCGAGTGCAGTATCTTCCAAAGTACAGCGTCAACCAGTGATTATGTAACTACAACGCAGAGACCGTCAAGCTCGTGGGCCGCAAACGCTGACACAGTCTGCGAGCGTTGAGCGCGACCAGTTGATGCAGCGGCATCGGGCGCCGTCGTTTGACGCTCTTGTCAAATGGCACATTCAGAGTACAGAGTTGAGCGTTGATCGCTGAATGCTCGTAAGCCGCGTCCGCTCCGCCGTTAAAGGTGTCTACACTGGAGCATATCTCTGAAGCAGCGTAGAGCCTTTCCACATTGATACACTTGCGTGAGATAGCATTTAGCAGTCAGAAAAGAATTTATTCAAGCTTTGTACAAAAAAGAGAAAGAGAAGTATCGCGATTGTTAAAACTCGATCACTAATTGCTCGCCGCACACTCATGGAGTATCGGCCGACTACCGATGTTGTCAACAGAATGCTAGCGCTCAACGCTCAAGGCTCTGCTCTGAAAGATGCCAACGGCGCTTGACCTTGTACTCTGAGAACGCCCTCTAACGTGTAGGGCAAAGCGTTTTTCGACTGCCGCTCGCACAGTTCCAACTAATTTACTGTACTCCTTCGCGCTCTCACCTGATGGGCTTTGCAAATTTTAATAGAAAAGTGATATTTAGCACTGATGATGACATGTGAGTACCACTTACGTAAAATAAGCATGTTTCGCTGTGTTCTATGAGAAAGGAAGATTACTTCCTAATACACTCTGAATTCCTCAACTAGGTAGAAGGGGCCTAACATTACAGCAATAAGTTGACGTAAGCTAAGATGAATAGTGAGACATTTTCTATTATACTATTCAGGTCACCTTATTAAGCACCTTTTTTCTTTTATCAGTGCCTGTTCTTTCCGAGGGTGGTAGAGAAAAGCGAGAGGATTCGTTGGAATTAAGAGTAAATGTCGGGCTTCGCAGAGATAGCTCCGAGGGGTGGGGGTGCAGTTGCCTGCGGGTCACCCGGGAATCACAGCGGCAAGAAGGTGGCCCTGGCATTTGCCCTTTTGCACTTATCTCTGTCTCGACGTGGTGTGACTCGCTTCCTTATCTCGCGTCGGTCCCGCAGAGCTTCGGCTCTTGGGATATCCTCCGATTCACCGCGTTGTCAGTCCACTGACTATGGATCTAGTCTCCAACGACGATTCCGTGACTCTTATGCGATGTTATGATTTGAAATCTAGTGGAAGCTTTTTCTTTCTTGGCATTTCGTCCCCTCACATCGAGTTTAGTTCTAACATACCATGTCCTGTGACACCGTTTCGTCCTGTAGATTCTGTAGATGATCCTGAGCAGAGATTTTTTTCCTAGCTGTATGCGCACCAAGATTTGTTGAAAGGTTCTCATCGATACTTACTTTGATGCTTTAGATTATACGTAACGGGAATTGCGAAAATACTTTTTTACCTGCTTTAGGGCACGAGGTTGGACAGTATATTAATATTCATGATTCTCTTGTACCAGTAAATGTTCGATACAAATTGAATACTTAATATTTATAAATGATAAACCTCTCTGATACTAAAGCATCTTTCCTGAAATGCTCTCAAAAGTCCTCCTTTAAACATTATGTTACATTGTGCAGCTGATAAAATTTAGCAGACATTACCACAATTTTCGAATTCTTCTTTATGCATATGTATTTCGCTTGTGCTCATTCTGCTTTACTCAATTCAGTTGATTTCATACGTAGGTTGCCTTTTATGTTCCGGGATTTAAGAATAAAAATAAGTATTGAACACTGAAAATCGCTTGATATTTTTCCAAAAAATATTTTTTGAAATACTCCCATTAAAATCTATACACTTTTGAACTAATTGTCGGAGCACTTTTGCCACTCTGATCGAGGTATCTCCGAAACGTGCATTTTGAACGAGCCATCCGCTCTTCTGGTGTCGGAAAACGTTGACCTCTCATTCTATTTTTCAAGTGCGGGGATAAAAAGAGATCATTCGGAGCTATATGACGGATAATTCATCAAATCGATGTTTCGGGTGCTCAAAAATGCAGTTAAAAGTGATCTGTCTTTGGTAGTTGGTTTTCCTGAGTTTGGAAGGCAACTGGCAAACAAAAAGTTGTATACAACGCAGTTCTGAGTTGTTCTAGTGGTGCTGTCGCGTCATGTCCAGTTTTTCCAAAAAAAANAAAAAAAACAGGCGACCATTGGTTTGTAAGTGCTTCATGCGCGGACAGCTCTTGGTGGATTTGGCTCATTTTCAAATACCCGTACGGTTGACTGCTATTTAATTTCGGCCTCATGCGCGTAAATACATGATCGTCCCCTGTCACGATGTCATAGACGTGCTTCGAAACACCGCGAACGTATTTTTGAGCGCTTACTTCGACCAATCGACACGAGCCTTTTTTGCGCGAATGTGGGATTCAACGTGACCAAATTCTTTTGACAGTCAAATTCAAATGTTCATGCGATATCGAATGTATGCTGGTCCCACCAAACCTGAGGTTGTCTCAATCTCACGATAGGTCACATGACGACCTTGCATTACTAGTTTGCGCATAGCATCAATGTTTTTCCGAACAACAACTGATTTTGGACGACCTCCACGGATTTCGTATTATAGTGAACCACGGCCTCGGTTGGATTCACCATACCATCGACAAGCACTGGTCCTCGATGTAGCCTCATCCCCAAAGGGGAAGGGGGAGGTCGAGGCGGAGAGGAGGTTTAGCCTAAGTGGAGGTGGGGGCGCCAAGGGCCTGAGTAAATTTTTACGTTAGCGTAAACAACACAAGGAGCGCTCATATGTCAAAACATTCTGAGTAAGGAAAACCTCAAAAATGCCAAACTTCACGATAGAGCTGTCAGTTGCCAGATTGCAGCGCTAGGGTTGACTAATCCCGAAATATAACAGGCAACCCTACTTTACATCACTTTGCGTCTCGCTTGTGAAGAAGATGACCATTTTTTATCGATTATCGAAGAATGTCTGCACCAACCATTCCTTGGGCTTGTGTTTCATAGAGGCGTTGTAATTTTTCATGCAATGTTTTGCGGGTATTTTTGTACAAGACACCGTAGTGAATGCAGTGGTCTACTTTGTATTTTCAATTAAATGTTAGTGCACAAATGATGCGTTGCATATTACATGAACATACCCAAAACTTTAACGCTGTATTTTTACAGCAGTTTGGAATGTAGTAATGCAACTATTAAAAATGCTGACTGCGGCAACAATTTTTTCACAAAGTTAATCCTGCAGTCGTACTACTCTACTCAACTTCATGTTTCTTCTTTCCTCACTGGTGTAAGCCGATAATTTGCAGAATAAAGTGCGCAACATCTATTTGACTGTAGAGAGGA